ATCAGCAACAGGTAGTGCCATACCATCAGCAGACTGATCAAACGTGCCCACACTCAGATAGCTCGCATACTCGACAAATCGGATCTCCCGCAGGACAAGTACAGCGTGCTCTTGCAGCGAATGTCTACCAAAAAGCAATCTTACGCGATCGATCAGCTCAAAATCCTCTGGCGCGAGGTACGAAACGGGCGTTTGAGCGATCCTCGTGCGTGCTCGACGACCGAAATTGCGACGGGGCTACCGTCTTCGAGGACGAAGAGCAACCGGTCGGCGGCCGAAATGCGGCCCATTACATACAGATGATCATGCAGAAACAGCAACAACAGCAAGACGCGAGTCAAGGTCAAGGTGTTCGCTTTCAAGGTGCCTGTTCGACACCTTTGCATGACCTTTTTCGTTTTTCGAGACAAAAGATCGGTTGAACGCCTTTTGGTTGAAGGAAAACCGATTTCCTGGCTCTTGTGAAGCAAAATTATTATTCATGGGTTTTAAGATTGAGAAATTCTGTATTCTCCAACCAAGACGCGTTTGGACCTTTTATCGTCATGTTAATTCAACAAATTCTCTTCTCGCCGTGCATTTGTTTCTCGTTTCTCTGTCTATTTGAATTATATTTAATGTATTGCACCAAAGGGACGATTTCTGTAAAGAAGCAACCAAGTAAATAAATGTAATAAATAAATAAAACGAATAACTATATAAATTCTATTGCAGAGGATCATCGGCCGATCTATCAGCAGCCGCAGCACGAAACGTACCACCAACAAATGTCGCAGGCGTTCAATCACGCACCACCGATGTTCAAGCAGCAACAGCAGATGCACAATAATCCCGGGACACCCTATATATACCAGAATCAGCGATTGTCCTCGGCGCAATTGGCTCCCGTGCAGGGTATGACCTCGCCGCAGGACCTGACGATGAGTCAGATGAGATTGACGCGACACAATCAGCCGATGTATCAGCAGAATCTCGGCTACCCGGTCGGTCAGGGCGCGTGGCCGCCGGACGGACGATGGACGAGCTACAATCAGCAACATTCGTGTCAGCAACAAGCACCTCCGCCTCCGCAATGGGGCTGCTATTGCCAGGACGCGCAGAATTCAGGTTACACCCGGCAGCTCTCCGAGCTGATCCAAGATCAGCCAGTGCCGTCGCGGCACCAGACGAGTTACGACAAGGCTGCCGCCGACCTGCAGCAACCTGTAGAAGCCCACGCTCGGCAGAATGACAGGAAGAGCATGCTGCAGTTCACAGCGGACATGATTCGCGACCAGGAGCTATTGGTCACGGCAATGAGGCAGCAAGGAGTGCCCCACGACGTGATGCGCCGTCAGTTCGACGCGTTGCTGAACGAGCAGCGCAAACACTTAGCCTACGTCGCGCAATTCCAACGGCAGGCCGACGCACCGGAGGTAAAGAGGACCTGCCGTCTGGTGTCCAAGAGACGGCCGGAGAATGACGAGAAGCCGGAGTGGATGGTGCGCATCACGCCGCCGCGGGTGTCGTACAACGACCTGGAGAGAATGAGGGTTAAGCAGAGAGCTTCGAGCGAACGGCAGACGACGGCCGATCAAGCGGCCGAAGATGCCGGAAGGACAATGCCTGCCCAGCAACCATACCGGCAGCCCAGAGAAGAGACGATCGCTCAAGTCGCTTCGCCGCAACGAACGTACTTGCGGATGAACCCTCATCAGTGGCAACAGCAAGCGGCCAATTGGCCACTCAGAAGCAACTTCCAGCGGCCGTCTTACGGTTACGCGAGTTGTTACCCTTACGGTCGCCAGCAGAGTGTCCCGAACATCTTCTACCGTTGGCCGAGCTTCAACGGACTCGACCAGTCGCCTCAACAAGGCTTCCAATACCAATACCCCTACAACGCGCCTCATATTTCGTACCAAGCGCATCCTGAGCAGCAGAAGCTTCTCTGGCCCGAGGAGAAGCCCAACGCAACCTCCACGAGTTCGACTGGAAAGCAAGCAGCCTCGGCGAAGGCTGTTCACGAGCATCTACGAAGCGAGAGACCCACCGAGCCGTCGAGTCTACTGAAGATGCGCGTGTACAAGAACGTGATCCAGCCGCAGAAGCGCAACAACGGCCTGCAGGATCTAAACACCGTTCAAAAGGCGCTCGAGGCGCTGAAGGACTCGACGAGCAAGAAGGGTCTCGAGTACTTGGCTAATCTGGCCAAGAGGAAAGTCGCGGTGATCAAGTTGAACGGCGCTCAAGAGGCTGACGAGATCCCAGAAGACCTGCGACAACGGCCGATCTCCTTGGAGGACGTCTCGCGACTCCCGAAGAAGGTCTCGGCGAACGGCCTGGAGAACGAGAGAAACCCGGATAATCCCGCGCCACGCGTCCTGCGACCGAGGACACTCGACGAGCCCGCGACAAAGGAGTACCCGCGACAAAGGCAGAGCCAGAACCTAACCTATTACGGCGCGTCGACTGAGACGACGACGACGGCCAGGAGCTCACAGCAACGGGACGATCACGCAGCTGCAGTTTCTCTCGCTCAGGACGCGGGACCGATGTCTCGCGATCAAGCGACCCACCTCGCGCCTACACCTCGAGCACGGACCGCCAATAACGCCGTGGTCCTCCCGTATGGAGGTGCTCCGCTTTATCAGCGACCGCAACTGCACGCACGCAACTTCTGGCACGAAGGGGGGGAACACCTGGCGAGACACAATGGCGGCCAAGGTGACGGTATCGCGAGCACACGACGGCCCCATGCACCGGGTGCCAGAGGAATCGATCGCGCCGGCAGCGATGCGCTCGCCGAGAGTTCCAGCGCCGACGGCGCGGCGACGAAGAAACACGGGAACGACGAGCGATCGATCGACGTGGGGACCGGCTCCTACGGCCGAACGGATATCCGCCCGGCGAGGAGCGTCGATTGCGCCGCGGTACGTTTTCACGTGCCGAACGGCCTCGCCGTCTCGCCGGATACGTTGCTCGCGAGCAAGCAGCCGCCGATGATATTTTAGAGCTCGATCTGCCCGCGGGACAATCTTGTCTGCCCTGATAAAAGATATCTGTGACCACAGTGTGTGTGTGACTTTTGGCTGTGTATAAACATTTGTAATCGTGCACGCGTCTCTACGTGGGCAGAAAACGTTGCCGTAGAAATTCAATGGGAGTGACTGCGTTTCTTTTTATATGTTTTTTCTTCTAAGATGAAGACGAGTGTGACTTTGTGTGATCATATACGTGACTATGTAGAGACAAATTTCGTAAGTGTGGATCATAAATAATGATACAGATATAATTTATGGATGACTATATATTACTTTGTTTTATTAGAGTGAGCCCCGGCTTCGTGCTGACCTCCCTTGCAGTTTTGTATTATTTCAGCTGTATTTCGATATTCACTGTGCTGAATACTGAGAATCTGTACTTCGTGTTTCGTATATTACAGATTTTCTGCACTGCCAGTGAATATCGAAACGCAGTCTTAATCAGAGCGAAATTGAGAAGCGCGGATGAGACCGTCGGGTATATTCGGTTTTATATCATCTCCTCTATTCTGGGCGAGATGCTTCGGCGTATGTACATGTACGTATGTGTGTGTGTATGTGTGTATTGTTTATACGCTGAAATTGTGAGCGCATGTTACGTAACTCCGACAGCGTGTATTTTGATTTTGTTTATATTTTTAGATGCTCTTGCCTCTCCTTTTCTCTTTTTGATATTTTCAGTGCCTCGCGGGGATATTCTCAGCGTAAAGCGGAGAGTATATATATTTATATCCGCATTTTATGCAGATGTTATTAATAAATATTTGCGATAGCAAAAACCGTTGTAAAAACACTGAACGTTTTAGTGTTTGGTATCGTGTGTGATATGTAAGTGAAAGATTAAGATGATGATGCGACGAGTGAAACAAAGCAGCTTGCCGTAAGACCATTTCCTTAAGAATGTTTTTAAATATTAACGGAAATACGATTTAACACACACGCGTTAGAAAAAAGTTGATACCGAAGCTGATATAATTCCTACACAGAAAATTTCTCGAGATCTAAATTGGGATCTAGCGCAATTTTTCTTTTTTGAAGTCTCCATGGATTCAAATTCGAAATCTGTTTCAGATATATAATCCTAAGTAGAAAAGTAAAAAATTTTCTCAACATCTTCTTCAGTCTTCATTTTACATATATTTCTTATATTTTTTATTCGGTGGAATATAATAGTTGGTGTAAAAATGGAATTCCCAATTTGATAACACAAAAGTATACCGACATATACCAATTGGAAAAAAGAAACACATATTTCCATGCCGGTGTATCACGTTTTCAATTCAAGCGACTAAATTACTCTTATGCTTTTAATGAAAAACCGAGAGACGATAAAAGAGACTTGTAAAAAAATCACAAAGTAATTACAAGTATCACAAGTAATTACTCGCTCAGTTTACGGAAATTGATATGAAAAGTATACAATTGTTGATAATATAGTTTATATAAATAATAACTAACCTGTTATTTTCCCCATAACTAACCTGTTATTTTCCCCATAACTAACCTGTTATTTTCTCCTTAACGTGCTTATTAGTCGTATATACATCTATCGATACGATGTTTTTACACAATTGCTGCATTCAGCAGAGAAAGTTGCTCTGCAACTGTTGTAAAATTCGTGAGTCTGATTGGTGTGTGAGTCTTTTAGAGTCAGTCGAAATTACAAAGCAGCTTTCTCCGCTGAACACGGCCATTGTGCAGCGCATGCAGTCCTAGCCCAAAGTACTATATGTAAAGTTATTCTTATTATTATCAGTATTTCTTTATAGATTACCAAATATTTCGTAAGTTTAAAATTGATATTATCTTGCCATCGTCAGAGAATCAAAGTAATCATATTTATAAGCATAGATTTGTCACAGATTATTCTTCGTGTTGTTTTCATTGTATCGTCACGGGCTGACCACGTTATAATTAACAAATACAACTCGCGTTTTTCATCGATTTCGGAATCAAAGGCAACGAAGCGAGCGATTGACAGTCGCAGAGGCAGAGGAGCATCCATCGGTCTCCCAGGACTTTTCGGCGTGCAGGTTCGACTTGGGGGTGCGAAAATCGGCAGAAAAATTCCCACGGTGCACTCAACATGTACAGACGCGACCGACGGCGCAATTTCATGGACGAGTTTCACGGCATCTTATGCGAGATCGATCGTTTGTAAGCCAGGATCTCTCTCGCCGTAGCCTCCTTCGCTAGATCTAATAACAATCGTCGGCAAAGACGATTACGTCCAGAATCCTGAAATATCCGAGCGAATGGAGCCTTCGATATTGCGACAGGTGTTACGAATCGCGATACACTCCCTTTTCCGTTCGCCAGGAAGCCCGAGCCCGAAGTTTGCAACGCAAGCTGCCCTCCTCTGGGATGTCCTCGAGGACCTTGCCCCGGGGTGTGCTGTCGTGGAGAGACCTGCGATCCCTGCTGCATGTCGTGGATGCCGCGTGACCTATCATGTCACCAGGCATCTTGTTGTCGGGTGCCACGTCGTTCGAAGAATTACTCGCTCAGTGCGACCGGCTCATCGTGCTGCGGCTGTTAATCGGACAACATGAATCGAGGAAGCCCGAAAACGGCAGAAACGGCTCTAGCGATCTCCAATAGCGCACGATCAATCAGGATTTCAGCGAGTCCTCTATCCTGTTCTTTATAATCATGCACGAGTCGTGAATGCACCGTCTTTGTCGCACTGTTGGATCAATAAGGTGTTGGCACATATGGTTGAAACGTCCGAAGAAACGGCACCTGCCGTCTGTGTCACGGCAAGAAAAGGGTCGGAGGGAAAGTAGTTCTTATTTTATTAAAGAAATGGAAATAAAGGATACGAATCGCTGAGGAAAATTGTTTGCTTCATTGTTATCTACGTGCGCGTCGCTGCGTCGGGCTGTGTTTGATATGTTTGTAAGGATTTTTAGGAGAAGTTAGGCATAACTTCATTTTTTTCACTTTTCAATGACCTGCTGTTAAAAGAAACGGTCAGTATATTATTAAATAAAATTATTTAATAATAAAACTATTGGATTTAAACTATTTTTGCGAAGATTTCTGTTATTTCTTTTATTGAATAACTTAATATAATACTCCCTACTAATAATACTTAATAACGCACTATGCGATTGCATCGCTATTGTCTACTATGCAACGGTATCTATTTTATAATATTATTCTGCATTTAAATCATGGTTATCTTTATGAAAATATATTTTCTATCATGTCATAATAATTTTAAAATATACTCATTACAAATTTTAGGAAAGCTCGTTTTTATGTGCTCAAAAGAGGAATTTTCATTCTCTTTTAAAGAATATTATGAAATTTGTATTCTATATTGGAAAAGAAGCAAATCAATTTTTGGCTTTAATTTATGCATTTATTTATTTATAAATGCGTGATTAACGTATTTCTTCCGAGATATTTCAGATGAACATTTTAAATGTTCTTCGATAGTACCCTGGGAGAATTTCACACAATGGCTTCGAAATGCCAATGATTACATCGCTCGCCCTGGTCATCGGAAACAATTTCGCTCTCGCGGATTTCGCGAGAAATTGCGAGAAACACAAAAAGAAAAACAAAAGAGAAACGCGAGGAGCTGATGGTATTCATCCAGATCTTCATATTATCTGAAACCCGCGATACTTCAGCAGCCTTGAACGAGGTTCAGTGCACAAGTATCGATAACAGATATCATCAAACAGCGATAGCTTCCGCTGCCTCAGAGTGCGTCCCAGAAATAACTCTACGGACCAGAGCAACATTTTAGTTACAATTAATGTATACACACACGCAGTTAATAATACTTTCGCGTGTACTTACCGCGTAAACTTTTAATTGTGAAGGATGGACGAGGACAGAGAGATATGTCTGGCCGCGCGTCACCCGACGATACACAATTCCGTGGAGATATTCGCGGCGGTGACTGGCAGATCACCGAAGGACCTGGAGGAAGTTCGTTTGGGGAGGCTCGCGTAGGATAATCGCGCGTTCGCGTTATTAATCCCATCGATACTTCCGTGCAGCACGGCATGGCACCCTCGGAGTACATGAAGCAGATGCTGATGAGCGCTCAAGAGAGACTCGACTATCTGGCGAAACCGGGTCGCGGTGTGAGCATGCGGGCTCTACGCGGTGCTGCCGAAAGCCGCCACTTCAAGGTTACACCCTGCATTGTCCTCTTCCAACGATTCGCCCCCGGCGACGTGTACACCACGACGTTAACAATACGTAACGTGTCAAAGGTGCGCAAACGTGTCGTCCGGTGAGAAACCACCCCGTGCAATATTCACCAGTTCAACCTCGATCCCACTTTCTAAATCTTACGTTCAAGGTTTCGCGTCGCTTGAGGATCTCTCGTGACCCCGATCCCTTTTTCGCCGTGGAATATCACGGTTTGAATTATAGCAACGTCGTGGCGCCCGGACTCATCCACGCTTATAACGTCAGCTTCAGCCCGGCCGAGAGCCGAGATTACGAATATCGCGTCGAGTTCGTCGTCGACGGTGATGGCGACCGGGATGACGACGACGACGACGTCCTCGCGGTGCCGGTAATCGGTGAGATAGACGTGGTCGTGGTCACGTGCCCTATGGGTCAAGTTAATATATTGTTGCAGCCATCGGTCCGAGGTCCGTTCTCGATATTCCTGATCAGATCGAAATACCGACCACCGCGGTGAAGATCTCCTCCTCGAGGACGATCGTAGTACGCAACGTGGGGGACGCGCCGGCGACTTTCAATTTCTATTCGGACCAGTACGTCGTGCCAGATTTATCGACGAGTTGACTGCTAAACACGATTAGCCGGAAAAGTAGTGCATTTTTGGGAGGGGTTGCTGCTGATATTCTCAATCAAATGAAAAGCATAAAGAGCTTGCATACGGAGCTTCTCAAAACGGTTTCTTTCGGATGAATTTTTCTTTTGAACCTTTTTGCTTCTGGACGCAGCCCCCGGTGGTTTATTGAGAGAACTTGTTTCTGAAAAATTTCGAGACAATTGACAATTTAAATTATTTAGAAACTTAACACACACATGCACGGTAGTGTAGTAAAATCTTTCAGACTTTTAGACAAATCTCGCAATGCTGTGGAATCAAATGAGACACGTCGATATTTGATTTTTTAAAGTCAACAGATTAATTTTATTTTATTATTATTCGGACGTTTTAATTTTATTTTGAACCCTCGTCAGTGTGGTAAACGTGACAGGAATACGAATATATTTAAACTGTCATGATATTGAATATCGTCAAAAATAAAATATTTCGCACTCAGGAACATTTGGATAAATTTCTAAATTTCGTAAAAAATTAATTTTATTAAACTACAAAATCCTTGCGTAGGAGCCTCAAAGACTCTTCATTTTTTTCATTTGACGAGTTATCTTATAGCTGGTATGCGTGAAGAATCATCCTGTGTTTTATACTTTCTATATTTCTCGGAGTAGAATCTAGTAGAATTTCTCATATAGAATCAACGCGTATTTTGAGTTGTTTATAAAATAATTAGGACATTAAGTTATCTAATTCACAGCGCAATTAATAATCAAACAACAATGATAATTATTACACGTAACGTGCCAGTCCGTACTTCTCCGTCGAACCTTCAAGAGGCGTACTAGGGGAAGAAGAGACGATGCAGTTCACCGCGAGCTTCTTGTCCGAGAAATCCGGCGATTTTAAAGCGAATCTTTTCCTCAGTTATGAATCCGGTATCACGAAACTTTATACTTTATACTTCGTCTGATATTAAACTCCGCGTGCATATATTAATATCTCGCTAAGATTGACATAAAATTGAACGATACGACAGCTACTTATAGTTGCCAGCTGATTAAAGATTGCAAACACTTCTCCTCTACGAGTGTCGCGACGCATCTCGTATCCAGAACTTGACCTTCGGCAAGTCTCAGAAGACACATTCTTTCTACTGGATACAAAATGCCTTGCAACAGCCATCGAGGACAAGTGTCGCAAGCTTCAATCAGCTGACTACAGATCGTCGGCAGGGGAGAAGCTTTGCCTGTCGCTGCAGAGTTCGTCGGCGAACTGCACGATACGCATCGACAGGAGCAGTGTCCGAATGGAAGACACTTATCTGGGCCTGTCCAGGAGCAAGGTCCTCACAATCCACAATAGGAGCGACCACACAGTCAAATTCCAATGGATGTGCTTCAAGGACAAGAGCAGCGACGTAGAGCGAAAGGACGAGTAAGCCGGCGCGTAAAATTGTCACCCGAAAGTTATCCCGCGTAATTGCCGATCGATGTCGCAGCGATTCTCATCCACCCCCTCTCCCCCCTGTTTTGCCCGGTGACAGGTACGGAAGACTGTTTCAGCTGGTGCGCGATACGGAGGTGGCACGTCGCGTCGACCTCGTTCATTACAATGTTTGCCTGCCAGATACTCACGAGCTCATCTGCCAGAGGATTTACGTGGACGAGATCGCTTCGTTGATGAACGAGGACTTCCGCTACAACCATGCATCCTTCCTCCTTACACCCGAGGTGATGATGTCCCGCGATAGCTCTCGCCGTTTCTCGCCGCTTAATCGCGCGACGCATCATGCGATAATTCGCTTATTTGTGCTTATTCACGTCCGTTGCCCGCGCTGCTGGCAACACTTTTCCGTTGATTTGTCGAACGCATGTCCTGCACTTTGCAGCAAGGCGAAATTTGGCCGCACTCGTGCGCCGATGTTACGGTGATTTTTCGGGCCACGAAGGTGGGCGAGATATCGAGCGTCGCTTATCTCGAAGTTACGGGCCGCGAGGACAGGATATCGCTGAGGTTTGTGGGGGAAAAGTAGTATACCGTTATCGCCGGCGACTGCTTTCGCTCTTTTTCCTCTTGGAATTCTCTCGCTAATTTCATGGGTGTAGCCTTCACGGGGTCGGCAAGGGACCGCTTCTCCGTCTCAATGTCATCACGATGGACCTGAAGAACATCTACTTGTGCTCCGTGCACAATTACGAGGTAGACCGACGAAAAGTCACTTTTAGATTTCGTGCGAAAACATTTGCAAAAAATTTGCGTTTAGATCCAATGCAGAATCTCATTAACACGAAAATGTTAAAATTTTTTCTGTGAGGTCATCTACGCAACAAGACTTTAAAAAAATTAATTACTTAAAAATTACGCCATTTAATTAATTCGGGTGTTATCGACCCATTTGCATCTATCCGTTCGTTTCGTCGTTGGCCGTCACAAAAAAATAGCCGGATAATTGTGGTTATTTTACTGAAGACGAATCATTGATCTAAGAAAATTTTAACGATACGGTCATGTTCTCTGAATCTTTTAATGGTGTAAATGAGTCAGCGGTGATTCAAACGGTGATTGCTGAAGATTGAACCAATACACAAGTTCAACCTTCTCATCTTCGTGGTGGGCGCACAAGTTGAGTCATCGGATCGACTACACAAACATTATAGATCGTGGCAGCAAATAAAGGTCATATCAACGGCACGTTGATTCACAAAGCGAGACCGACAGATTTCGGCGGCACCGTCACCGTCAGCCCGCTCTGTCTTATCTTGGAACCGAACGAGTACAAGTCCTTCAATTTGTCGTTCTCCTCGAACCGGAAAGGAGACTTCATGGAGCGAGTCGACTTTGTCGTCGAGGAGAGTTCCGAAGTGTTGTCCTTGCACATCAAGTGCGACTTCCGAGCTTGACTATTGTCATCGAAACGAAAGCCCATCGCGAAACCAAACGACACAGACTGTTTGACGCGCGCGCGCTCGACAAGATGAAAAAAGTCAACGAGAACCGTTGGCTTGGGAAAGATACTTTCACGAAGAAACGCGTTTTCGTTACTCACGGAAATAAAGTAACTCGTTATTATCGTTACTCGAGAAGTAATGACTATTAAAGCACTTTTTGTCGAAGACTCTTGTAGGATTTTTGCCCGCGCTCCTTCTTCAACTGATTTTTATTTTCACCATCGAGTGGGTCTCGCAAACGAAACGCTCGCGCTGGTTCTTATCGGCTTTTCTCTTCTTGTCGATTCAAAACGCGTCGACTGTCTTAATTGCTACGATTGGATTGTTATCGACGAACTTCTCTGTGTGTCCGCAGGGGATGTGTCGTATGCCCAACGTTGCATTTCGATAAGAGCAGCCTCGACTTCGGCGTAGTCGGGTTAGGTATACCGTCCGCGGTAATTGATAGCAGTGCAATTAGCAAATACCGCAATTTGCTGCATGCATTTGCAGGGTTTAGCAAAAGGCAGGAGGTACATCTTCGTAACTTGTCTTTGGTGGCGGTCTCGTTCGGCGCGACCATAATGGACGACGGTGACCAGGCACCGTTGACTCACGAAGAGTTCGCCAGATCCGATGCCCGGGCGAGCTTCCCGGCGAATCCTCGCGAGTTCGTCGTCATCCCGCACAAGGGAGTGGTGCAGGCGTACAGCTCGCTTAAGTTGAAGGTAAGTTACAAATGATGTCTTTGGATTTCGTGCACCACATTCATATTCTTCGCTGAATTATTATTCAATTAAATTTCATCTTAATGAGCAATTTCGGAATTTCTTCGAGATGAAATAAAACGATTATACGTGTATCTTCATGTGTCGCTATAATTTTTATAACAATTTTTATAACAATATACTTCAAATGAAAGGCTGTGAGGCTCTTTGATTAAAAATATGAAGATAAAGATCAAATTGGCGCTTAACGTGGTTATTTTCCGATGTGGCTATTTTCATGTGTCGTTTTATAAAATTATAACGACATAAAAATTACAATGGTTTTATCTTATTTGAGAAATATCAGATCATTAATTCTAATAAACCTCGTTAAGACGAATTGGATTATTATCAAATCCAATAAAATTATTACGTTATCGAGACGGTATTTCTGGATTTTGCAAATAAAAACGGATGATTTATTTGGCTTCGATTCTCATAAGGAACAAGACTTATGCACATTAGCATCTGTTGTTATATTTTTATGTTCAAATGCCTAGGTGATGTATACAGCAAACGTGGTACGAAGCGGACAATCGACCGTTCGCGTCGACATGTGGGACTCCGAGTCGGATCCAGTTTTACTGCCGATTTCATTTTGCGGCGCCATTCCTACCTTGTCGATCACGCCAGCGGAGATTCCCATACGATTCTCTTTCCTCAACTTCCCGTATTTGCGTTCTATTAATGTGGAAAACAATTCTGATCTGGACGGATATTTTTACATAGTACCGCAGGCGGTAGGACGCGCTGAACCAATTTCACAAAATAGTTAATTCTAAGAATGATAACGCTATATTCTAGAAATGAAAACAAACAAGAAAGGTTTGATAAACAAGTTTAAATTAATGTAACTAGTCAATGGTTAGTTTTCGCATCCATATTTAGATCTTTTGACCCATTAGTGAATCTTTTTTTACTTGTTTATATCTCTAGAATATAGTGTTAAAGTGTAGCCGAATATTTTTGGACCGTTCTATATAATTTAAGGAATATGCCATTAAGTGACATGATTAGTATATGAAGCAGACGATGCGACGATTCTATTCTTTAGATATCCGAGGATATCCCGGTGGTATACTCGATGTCGTCTCATCAAGGCTTCCTGAAAGCGCGTCAGTCGATGAAGATCGACATTACAGTTATTACGAAAGTTTTGGGCAAACAGCAAGTTATCCTGAAGTACGATGATTAATGTAGAGTAGCTCAAAAAACAGTTATGGATTTAAAAGATTCATAATTTTTTTTACAGTTGATATAAATTTGTCTGTAATCCTTTTTGCATTAAAACTTTGCAAAAATTTTAAATCGACTTTTGGGCTATCCTATATAATAATTTTATATAGAGATACTTTTATAGAATCAGAGAGTGACCGACTTGATGAAATTTTTAGATCTTAATTAGCGGAGATATTTATAAGGAACATTTTTTTTTTAATTTAAAGACCAAATACACACATATATATATAGACTTTGGATAATTCAATGAAAATAAAAATAGCTGACAAAAGCCGATCGACGAGTTGTCAGACGCGATAATCTTATATTCTAACGAGAGGGAATATAATCGTATAAATATATTATAATTATAATTGTATAAATATAAAATTAAATATATATATTTATGTTACATTTACATTTATTATAATTAAATATTTTTGTTGGACTTGCAAATATGCGCGTCCAATTAAGCAAATAAATTACTTTTCACTCAGAAGACGCATCATTTCTCTCGTTTCAGCATGCTGACGATGGGCGAGCAAGCACCGGTTACATCCTGTACAATCATCTGCAACGGCCAAGGTCCGGTAGTATCCGTAGAACCTGCCTATCTTGAGTTTGGGGACATCCAAGTGCTTCAAGAGCAAATCACATATTTTCGTATAATCAACGATTCACCGATACCGGCGCAATTCAAGTTAACTGCGGTAAGTGTTCTTTCAATAAGAATGTTTCCTTTTTTAGAATAATAAATCGATTTAACGTAAATGCACAAAATAGATTCGATTCGATAAAGTTGATGTAGACAAAAAAGTTCCCTCTCGTCACACCTACGTTCTACTAATTATGAGAAATAGAGGACAAATGAGATTTACAGATTGCCTCGCGTTGTGTAGGATAAGAAACATGTACCGTGGCTCGTAAACCCAATCTCTGGCGAAGTTGGCCCGAATGAGTCCACGGAAGTCGAAGTTAAAATATTTCTACGCGACCCCGGTAAATACACCGGCGCTGTAATGCTGCAGGTCACGAATAGCCGGTTAATTCCTATTAACGTTATTGCAAGTGGAATCGGCTGTAGCGTCATTTTCGAGCCGCATATATATCCAATGTTCGACATGGGTTTCCTCTTTAGGTAAAAGCCTACCGATCGAAATGTTAACTCGCTCTGACTGGCTAGGCGTCAACGCGAATAGCCCGCTTGACTGAATTATTTCATATTTTTACCAGCCGTCAAAATCAGAGTCTACCGATAACTATCAAGAACCTTGGCACCCATCGCCATCAAATAATATGGTCGAGCGATCTCGAAGCGCGCGTTCAGAAGACCCACGCCCCGCCAATGTAATGACTCGTGCGATTTTAGTTAGAAGCTGCGTCACTTTGTGACTGCGAAGCGCTGAAGAAAGTTATTTGTTGCAGTAGCAAGTTCCAAGTCGAGCCGGCCATCGTAGACGTACCAGCCGGCGAGTTGAAAGTGGTTCAATGCAAAATATGTTGGGACACGTGAGTTGCGATTATCCTCCGTCTTGAAGCGCAAGATCGAACACAGCTCGGTTTTACGAACGAGCAGGCGAATTTTCATAATTTTATCCAGCCTTCTTCAAGTTGGAATTTGTTCTCATTTTTAAATTTTTACAATTTCGCGTCGCGAGCGTGTGTCTGCTTTACTCATCGCAACCAGCTCTGAATCTCGATCTCGTAAGGAATGTCTTTTCGAAATTGAAGGAATGAAGTCTTGACAGAAGATTGGCACGTGTTTGGTCACATACACGGACAAAGAAAGCGGAAATTGCTCGGTACCACTACATTCAAGGCGACTTTTATAGAGCCACGGATCTCGTTCAACAAGAGGGAGTTAACGTTTCGCATCGATATATGTCCCGACGAGGGAAAGATAGAACAAGCAGGTAGGAAATGCTGTACTGTCTGTCTTGTCCAGGACCGTTCCGGCAAAGAGAACTGAAAAGTTAGGCAGTCTAGTACATCAGTGGAGACACGTTGGTAAATAAGGTGCGCCTCGGTGCGCGTCAGAATTTACACACGATCAATACGATACGAGGTGTGGCTATTAAATAACCGGGTCGTGCGTTCTGAGAACTAACTAACCAAGAGCCGAGGAGGAAGGACAAACAGTTGAACTCGAACATTCGTGCAAGTCGAACAAGTCTGTTTTCCGACTGCCGAAAGAGCCGAGTTAGTTGATACTCGGACACCGTTTTTACGATGAATTGATTCATCAAGACTTTCAATGTTCGCACTGCCTGCCTGTGAAGCAGTTTTTCTCTTCTTGCAGCTTCTGAATTATCTGTGCAGTCCCGTCGACAGAAAATGCACCTTAGTTACAGTTAGTCAAAAATAATTTCTATCTACGGAAAGCGCAGCGCTAGAACATTTATTCCTCAGATCTGACATCCTGTGTGGGGTTTTTTATTCCCGAAAATTACAAACACGCCGAAGGGGAGCCTGTGAAGGCGATCAAAGCAAGAACGGCACTAAAATCGCTAAAATCGCCTAATCTGCAGAATTGGAAGTTAAACTGCACATAATATCTCAACAAAGTCACATTGAACAAAGAACTAAAATTTTAGAAGTTGTTTAATAGCCATATCTCGCGTACAGTACATCGAACTCGTAAAATTGCCCGCGCATGCAATCTGGCTTGAGTACACGGTGTCTTATATTCAATAAGATAATGACGATCCAACGATTCGTTAACTTCCAGACGAGCTAGTCGTGACGAATCAGTCGCGACTAGATTTAAACGTTCAATTATACGTTGACCCTCCCTTTTATCTGACGGCTGATAAAAAGAAGCCCGTGAGCAAGAGGAAAATCGTTCTGACGAGCGGCACCACCGCGACGCTGCCGATGAATTTTTCGCCCCGTATAAATCTCGATAATCCTTGCTCGCGAAATTACAACAGTGCGCTCTGGTTCGAGTATAACGAACATCCTAATAAGGTCCGTAAAATTTGCATTGCAAAGTCGCCGGTCGATCTATACGATCGGCGAATAAGGCCGAATTCTCGTTTATCCGTCTAGACGGTAGCAGACGCGAGCCTGATTTTCTTTCATTTTTTTCTTTTAAACAGGAATTATTAAGGTGAGACGACGAAGTTAACTAACATCATGGATAGTCCAATACAAAAGTATTGGTGAATTTCTGTCCGCCAATATCTAGACGAATAAAGAGAACCGGTCTTTTACTGAAAAACGAAATGTTTAGTATTTGTAACTATAATCGCATAACGAAAGGATCAGGAGTTAGAACTATTTTTATTAGTAAGTATCAGAGTGTGTTAGCGATAATAACCATGTATGTACATTTTATCTCGTACTTTTTTTTAAACTTTTAAAGCAAGAAGAAGATATAATTGAGACGAAAAGCAATTTTAACTCTTAAAAGCTACCATCAAAGAAAATCACGTTAATGCTGTCATGAGGGAAAAAAAATTTCATACCGGTACATATTTCTTATTTTAGAAACAAAAAAAATCAAACAAATGTACAATTAAATACTTTATCGTTATTGAATATTGGATGTAAGGTAGAGAAGTTATTGTTTACAGCGGATGATTTAACATTTAATAATAAGAACGAAACAAAATTCGTACGGTCTGAAATTTCACCCATGGTGATCTTTAAGGATTCACAATATTCGCTATTTCTCCCTCGGTGTATAATTTTCGTTTGTTCCTCTTCAGGATAGGATTCAGTGCAAAGGCAACGTGAACTTTCCGAGTGTTACGTTACTGTGCAAAGACGTAACCATCGACTGCATCCTAGGCTCGAGAGCCGCGACAAAATTCAAGATGACCAACAATGGGCCAATTCCCGTGAAATATAAGTTTCTGTGGGCGGGAGAGAGCATCGACATTCACCAAGTCACTCGTGACATCGAGGTGAGCTACCTTGAGACGTGTGTGCGTAAATAAAAATATTTTTCAGTAACCGTTGCGTGTGTGAAGTTGGCCTCGCACTTTTCGAATTTTGTATTCTTTCGAATTGTGCCGTACAAAGTTGCGGATTGCGACACGATACAGCACAAACGTAGCACAATGCAGCACAATTCGAAAAAATACAAAATTTGACAAGTGCGGGGCCAACTTCACACATACACACGTGTAATCGTTAGAGCGTAATTAAGGCACATCGTTCTGCCGACAGGACTTCGCGGACAATTCGGAAGTGCAAAGCAACGCGGAAGGTTACGAATTCGGCCTGCGCAATTGCAAGGAAAATTCTGAGGATCGCGGAAACGAGGACGGATCTTCGGAGGTGCTTACAGCGTCGGCTTCATCGTCCTACAGTATGTATTATTTCATGCATTCTCTTTGGAGGAAGCACTTTAGTATCGGTATATGCGATTTTTGTATTGATCTATTAATTCGCGCACAAAGAGGAAAGATCTGTCGAGTTAACGCGGGTTGCTTGACAACGTGGAAAGAAATGCTGAATCGATAGAATTGGCCAGCAGCGTCGTAATTGGAATAGATACTCTTAATCAATATTATTGAAACTAATATATCATATATAACATATTAATACATAC